CTGGTTCTCCCAAACTTTCCAAACTCGCAATTTCCTTCTAGTTCATAAACTGGAGGTAGATCCGTTTTTGCTCTTCCGGTTCAGCGTCTTCATATGGCTAACAAGTTCTCACATAGATTCACAGTAAATTTCGCTCCAAAGCGCTCTCTTAGTTGTCGAGGCTTTAGGATAATGCTGCCGTTGCCGGAAGCTAAGGACTAGGCGTTATGCTTTCGATTGGGTTCCATAGCCTGCAACAGTACTGCATTTTATCTCATCCGCGATACTTCTGTCGTCGGATTTCTGGAACTGACTCCAAAAAGCAGGTAATCTTTAGCTTCACCCTGAATTTTTAAGCTCAATTTAGGCATTTAAATTCCAAATTCGAGTACTTGGAGGAGGAGCTTGTATTTCCGCATATTTGAGCACACTGTTCTAAACTATCTCGATAATTCTCCTTCTTGAAATCATCACTAAAAATTTTTCTCCATTCAGTCTGCAAAATCTGTCGATATACACTTGGCTACGTCAAGTCTCTGGAATAATCACAAGTTGACACTGCAAAATCGAAGTATTTTTAAATCTCTTACTTCTTTAGTAATTCACTTGGTTTTTAGTTTGCGAAACGCAATTTAAGTCCTTTCTTGAGACTTAAGCGATCAAAGCATCTTCAAGATATTCAAATCGAAATCATTCAAATTCATCGGAAAATCTAATTCAAAGCACCTGTCCTCCGAGGTTAAACTGTTTATTCAAACAGTCGTCAGTTGCGGTCTCCTTACCCGAGGCTGGTGCATAAAAGACAAAAAATTAATAATCTTCTTTATTCCATCAAACAGTATCACCTTCCGAGATCAGCTTTCGTTGTCTACAAGCAAAACTTCGAAAACTCAGCAGCAGGCGACGTCACAAACGCAGCGCCTCGCGCTGTATTACTTCAGTCATTTTACAATAACAACTTTAAAAAGAATTTACCATGAAAACTTTTAGACATTATTGGAAGACCATTATAAGACAAAAAAAAAAAAAAAAAAAAAAAAAAAAAAAAAAAAAAAAAAAAAAAAAAAAAAAAAAAAAAAAAAAAAAAAAAAAAAAAAAAAAAAAAAAAAACAAAAAAAAAAAAAAAAAAAAAAAAAAAAAAAAACAAAGTTTGCACCCAATAGCAAACATTTAACTTACAGCATTACATTAAAAAGTCTTTCAAAATTTCACATAATAAACAAAGTATCTCGACTACAACAGAAGAACCTTTCGAACACGCGTAAAAGATGCTATATGGCCGCGGCATGCTGGATGTATTTCGCACATGCCAGTGAGGTACGAGGTGGATGGATTGCCCCTTAAAATAAGCTTCAGGATATCATAATGTCTCTCAGTTGACGGAGCCACATTCCCTCCACATTTCTTGATATCCATGTTAAGCATAGCTATTAACTGGACTTATAAAACCTATAAATGGAGAAGCTCAACCGAGTTCTCTTTCATATATTAAATTCCAGAAACTATGAACTTTAAACACTATTTACATATTAACGAATATTGTGACATAACAGAAAATCTGCACAAAAGAACTTAAAAGTTTTAAAAATATATCACTAGGTCTTTTGTACCCATATAAAGCTAGATTTTTTACAATATGGATTATAATAACATTGATAGATATTATTTTTTAACAGAGAATGAGTGAAAATAATATAAAAATTAAAGGAGCACTATGGAATGATGTTACACACAAATCATGGACAATCAATATCAATTGTCAAGAGTGATTATTATATTAAATCAAATAAATAAGCAATGAAATTTTAATTTAAGATGCACTATAATGAATAAAGTCTCTAAGAATGTTATTTTCCAAATAGCATAGTGATAAACTAAGATGTCATGCAATGTGCCATTCTATAACTTGATTATAAAGTCTGGTAGCTAATGGAATCTACACTAGAAAGACGCATATAAATAGTATGATATAACATTTTCCTTGTTCCTTTTATATCATCAATAACGTAACACATATGGTATTTGTTCTTGGTACTTTAATGCAGCTGGTATTCTTATATATCTTCTCCGTTCAACTTTAGGTTTGCTGTGCATAATGAATACATAGTCATTTATTTTAGGCTAAGTGCGATCGCCCTTATTTGTTTGGCGCTTTTACAGATAAAGAGATTGGATTTTTGTCAATTTTCTTTGACATTTTAGGTAAAAATAGGTCGAGTGTAATGGGTAAAGTCAAGAGAGTGTGCAATGCCATTTTTGTGCAATTGGGATTTTTTGTAGTGAAATAGGTCGCGTGTACTGATAGTCAGGAAATGCGCAATGCCATTTTTGTGCAATTCTGAGATGTTGGCTAATTTGGATATGGTAACTAGTTGGCAACATTTTGGTAAGGCGATAAGCGTATAGAGAACTTGTAGGCGATAACGGTACTCTAGCAGTGAGTGGATAAAGTCAAAGTGTGCGCAAGCTATTTTGGCAATTCTGGATGTTTTTAAGGAAAATAGATCGACGTGTATGATACTGAGTATGTGCATTCTAAAATGTGCTAAGCATGGCCGATTCTGCACTTTACCCTATTTTCCTTTTGATATGTACATGTATTAAAATAACATAATTTGTATAATCTGCTTCAGTGACAATTTCACTAAAAAATGTGCTAAGCAGTGGCCGATTCTGCACTTTACCCTATTTTTCTTTTGATATGTAAATGTATTAAAATAACATAATTTGTATAATGCATGCTTCAGTGGACCATTTCATACTCTTAGTTTAATCCCCCCCCTTCCAGTATGAGTGCAGTCATGTGTTTTGACATGAATAGTACTAAATAATCTTAGATTAAGGGAGGGATACAATCAATTACATTTTAACATTAAAATGTTGAGGGTAGGGAAGAACTATCAGATAAATTTCCAATATGTGTATGCATAATAGTAAAAAAATAGAAGCATTCTAGCAATGAACTACAAATTTTTAGAGAGTTTTATTTTTGCAGAAATGCTTGAATTCATTTAAATTGCCAAACCAAACCAAAGAAGAGGAAAAAAATTTTACAATAGCCTATTAGCCTCCTTTTAAAAGCAGGGAAGGCAAATACCCATTTTGGCGTTTTTAAGAATTGCATTCTCGGTATCCATTCACATCGACTATTTCACTTACAAAAACATCCCAGAATTGCACAGAAATGCATGCGCACCTCTTGATTTATCTATGTACACTCGACCTATTTTCACTTAAAAGTCAAGAAATAACAAAACTCCACTCGAACGACCCAATACTGCTTATTAAACAATCAGTTCAATTTTTAAATAATTTTTTTGTGCATAAAGACGACGCAGCGATCGTGCTTGCATTACCACACATGTGTTTCTGGAAGTAAATACAGCTTATTTAACTGTATATTCGCAGAAAATTACTATTGCTCTTAAAGTAAATAACAACCATATAAGGTTGTTCTCTTTCACATCAATTTCCGTTTATTAAGACAGATATTACCTATGAGCCATAATACTATGGTCAACATTTTGCCAATTTACAAGTCGTCAATTAGTTGAATGAATCAGAAGATAAACGTAAGATAAGAAAATATTTTAAAAAAATCTAATGTTCAGATTTTAATAGTCCAAAGGGGCGTTTTTTAACGTTTTGAGTGTTACCTTTATTTATTAAAATATGTTCTTGCACTTAAACCATAAAATTCCGTTCAGAGCAATATCGCAAATAATGTAAATTAAGCATATCTTTAGAATTTCCGATATACCAGTCCGCGAGCTGGAGATAAAAGTATTTTTTTTTCTATATAACGTTGCCATTTCTCGCTTTTAAAGCATTGAGTTTGTAAATCAAAAATTCGTTAAAGTTTACAAAATAAAAATCATAATAAAACAAATTCCAATTTGGGATTTCAGATGCCCATATTCGCAGGATTTCGTCATTCAAAATTCGATGGCTCTATGTTCCATTTTTTATCACAATGAAATAGACAATCATTTATGCATTTTTCATTATTTAATTTCTTCAAATTAATGCAGGACTCTAATTTTGTGGCAACAGTTTGAAAATTGAACCGACGTTTATGAGTCCGACAAAACGAAAACAATAGTCCTTCAGGGACAAAGCCCCTTTGGACTAATATGCTTTGAAAAAGTTTCAATCCATACAAAGAAGGGTTTTACTTCATAAATCAAGCTGCTGCTATGAAAGTAAACTTTTTATTTCCTCACACAAAAGTCCGATAATACCCTTATACCATTATAGAGATGAGATTAAATAATGCAATTACAATTAATTAACTAAAATGCAGCACCTGCTGGCATAAGATCGCCTGCTCATATTAATAATAATATGCGATATTTGCATTCAGACAAAATTTTGCACAATTTACAAACGGAAATTTTACACACAATTAATCTTACACAATAACTGAATGTATTACGAAGTAAATATAGTACACTCATATTCGTCTCAAGCGCTATACATAAGCCGCATCTTCGCCTGAGCAATTGTGAGCGCTTGGATGAAATTGTGAGAGCTTGGGCGAAATTCCCTTTTTCCCTCTCTCATTCCGAAACGCGTGCGATGAGCAAAATTTGCGGATGACATCTTTCCTCTAGCACAGAATATAACCATAACCAAGGCTAACTTAAAGGCCAACCTATATCAACTTGATATAACAAAGAACTATTCTCCGGAGCGTTCACCAAAGAATATTTAAGGAGAAGGGTCAGCAATATCTGGGCATGAAAAAGATCCTTGATATGTTTCCACGCGTATTGAAGTCAACACTTGATTTTCAATGTCAGCAATATCTGGGCCTGAAAAAGATCCTTCAGATGTTTCCAGGTGTATCGGCTGGATTTCCGAAGAGAAATTACTTGGCCCTGAAAAAGGCCGCTTTATTATTTTAGAAGATACGCTAATATTTTCTGAAGACATATTCACAGTAATACGATATGAAGAACGCTATGGACTAAAATTCCCTATACTCAAAATCCCTTTCCCTTCTTCATTTCCCAGAGAAGGGGAAAACCGGTTATGAGCAAAAGTGAGGTTTGGGGTCTAGACGCTTGTTCCGATGGCAACCACCCTTGATTGTGATGTCAAAAAATTTTTGCCGCTTACGGAATCGTTTCAGGAACTTCTGACTCCAAATAATGGAAGATTTGGAACATGTGAGTGAACGTAATACTCTTTAATGCAGTTTAATTTAGTTTGAAACTCTTGAATTAGTTCTACTATTGTCTTAGATTGCTTTCATGGGGAAAACTCAAATAAGCGGCACTTGGCGCAATTTTTTCCACCATCTTGAATCGCGAAAAATCGCTGTATCCTCGGAAGGAATTTTTTGACGCCAAGAGGAAAATGGCATCAAAAGGCGCTTTCCAAAAATTACCTCTTCAGCCCCAATATCCGGCGAAAAGCTCTGCTGGGCGAAAATCGCGCAAGACAAATTGACACGTTTGCATTGAGATGGTAAACCATACATGTAAAACACATTGTAAATGATTATTGTTGTGATTAAGTAAATCTACGTACTTTATTTCATCTTAATATTTTACATTATGATATATATAACTCCAGTATTATTAACTTTTATACTTAACATTAATTTAAACAACTATTTGTGGGAACTTACTTCTTACCATTAATTTAAACAACTATTTGTGGGAAAAGTGCAGAATCGCCCACTGCTTGGCGCGTTTTTTAAGAATTTCACATACTCGGTATCCATATACACATCGACCTATTTTTACTTAAAAAGGTCAAAGAAAATTGACAAAAATCCAATTCTTACTCTTGCGAAGAAGCGCCAAACAAATAAGGAAATCCTAGTATACGGTGCAGCCTTGGCGCGATTTTGAAAATTATCGCCAACACCAAACATGATCCAAAGAACGTCTATATATATACTATACACAATATACTATAGTGTATATACATTGTACATACTATGTATAACTATATATATTCTTCGAATGACCCGTTTTTACTGCTCATCATCAAAGTAGCCAAATCCCATGTGCACCGGATACTAGGATTAAACCCAAATAAGTGGCCGATTCTGCACTTTAGCCCTATCTGTAATAATGTTTATATGTTTGAAAACATGTTCTTTATATAAATGCAGCAATGATCACGAAAATGCGATATATATCACATAATTATAGATGAATCACCCGAAGTGGCTAATCTTTCGAATATTGTAACAGGTAGTTTGGCGACATTTTGGTAATGTGATAAAGGTTACTAGCTAGGACTGGAGCAATAATCTGAGAAGTACATAGTTTGAATCACAGATTAATTTGTCTCAGAGAAATGGGAACCACATTTTCCGGAAAATTCCGATCGTGATTTTAGCTAATAAGCACTTAGTCGAGAGTGTGCGCAATGCCATTTTTGTGCAATTCTGGGATGTTTTTTTAAGTGAAAATAGGTCGACGTGTACATGGATACCGTGTGTATGTGCAATACACATTGTATGTGCAATTCGTAAAAACGCGGCAAGCAGTGGGCGATTCTGCACTTTGTCCCAATTTCGCACCTAATCTTCGTCATGATTAAGCACTTTTGTTCCATAAAAGTTCTAGCATAAGCGTAATTCGGCTAGCAGATTGTTGGAAAAAAATGTTGGAAATGTTGAGGGGGAAAAAAAAAATGCCTTTACTTCGTGAAAACAAAATGGCGTCCAAACAAAAATTAGCAGGTTGCTGTAGCAGGGTTGGTCGCCAAAAAATCGCCAAGTTACCATAATCCAAAGATTAACCGAAAGAAATAAAAATTATTATTGGTTCTCTGAGATGACAAAATACTTTTATGTATTCCCAGATTCATCAAAGTTAGTAAACCACTGCTTTGAGTTATTAATCAAAGTTTGAATGAATCTTCAAAGATAACAAGATGTACTATAATGTTGCTTCTAGTTTTATTTACAATGCTACTTTAAAGGATTTGAATATTATTAAAGATTCTTGGCAGTGTCAAATTTATTATGAAAAAGGCAGTTGTTTCAAAATAAAATATTTTAAGCTATCAGCAAGTAAATTCAAAAAACAACTTTGAAAAATTGCTTGTGTAAAATGAATGTTTTAAATGTATTATTTAGAAATGAATCCATTAATCTATTATATGTACAGTAGCACTAATTATTAAACATAATTTTGAGAATATCGACAAGCAAAGCACTGAATGAAAAAGACATTTTTTACTAAAAATATTAGTATTCTGTATGATATGTAATGCATACCATGGCCAAATACCTATATAAAGAAAAAGAAACAACAACAACAACAAAAAAAAAATGTATTCTCTACCTCGAGACTTAAAAAAGTAATCCTACTATGCAACACATAGTTAATTTTTGATTACATGATATTGCAAGCATTTTCTTTAGATTTTTCCTATAACTGGTTAAGACCATTGAGTACTGGTAGTTTGATCTGGTTTCATATCATGGCTAAAGGGCTGGCTGCAAGGTTGATTTTTCTAGTTTTTCTCATATGTAATGCAAATACAAGCCAGTTTCCCTTAGAAAGTTGTTCAAAAAGGCATCCTTCTTCAGGTCGATCCTTCTTTGCCATATTCGAATAACCTAAACTTTCTTTTAGATTCTACATTGACCTGCTATATCTGTTATAAGCAGGACAATGATAATTCAGCTTCTATCCATGTGGCAGGAGTATATTTAAAACATGTCAGAACCATAGGATTCATAACAAAATCAACCATGTTTTAATCTTGAAAACTTTATAAATTTTTCCGATTTTCTGATGTTATGAGTTTCACTAACAAGATATTCATACTTTTGTTCAAGTTTACAAGCAGTTGAGCAATACAATTGCTGAATACTGGTAGTTTGACCCAAGTTTGAATCTTCAGTATTCTGTATCTTGGGCCATCACACTGTCATGCCCCCTAAAGTTATTACTGCTTAGCATAATAACAATCTCATTTGACTATGTTACCCACTTTGTCAAAATTAATATATCAGCTGCAGTCTCTCCAAAGACTCTCACTATAACAGAGATTTAAAAAGATCTTTCTTAGAATACAAATAGGTTTGTCAAGCCTGGCAACAATTCATAAACTTTTCATGCAAAGCATTTACGACTCATTTCAGATACAACATTTTGAGAAGTGTTTCATCTGCCTTTTTCATGCGTATGGCTGCATCATTCAGAAAAAAAATGATGTTGTCATGTTTCATTTCATCAGGCCTGATGCAGAATAAAATACTGGAACTGCTGGTTTTTCCCACATCTGTTATAAGAAATAATTTCAATGATATCTTGGAACTGGAATTATCCTAGGATACATATTAATTTGTCAACAGCATTGGTTATTTCATAAATGGAAATTAGAATATTGCTTTTTCCATTCTCACTTTGGATATTCTAAATTGCAATAATATATACAGCATTGAATTATGTCCATTTTAAGGTAAATTTATGGAACATCATTTCTTATAAGTTTCGAAACATCTTTTCAGAAATGGACTTTCTCACAAGATTCAGATAATGAAGATAAATTTAGTGATCATCAATCTGAATCCAAAAACAGTGCGACTCTTCAGAAGACATTCCTTGCGATTAAGTGACTATTTTGTAGGAAAAGATAAAACAACAAAATGGAAGAAAGAACCTTTCGAATTCAAAGATGCATGGCATCCCATAATATCATAAAAATATTGCCTGGCAATACACATCGATGCATGGAAGCTAATATTTGATGACACAATGATTGAAATGATTGTGAAATGCTCTAATATTAATGTAAAAAATATCTCGGGAAATTTTAAAGAGATGCAAAACCTATGGAGAAAGAAATATTTCTTGCTTATTTAGGTAATAATAATAATAGATAATGGAATTATGGGCGACTGATGGAACAGAATTGGATATTTTTCATAAAACAATGAACTATAAGCATTTTCTTTTCATTCGTGCCTTATGATTTGATGGTGTCGGAACACGGGATGGCAGAAGAAAGAGTGATAAATTAGCTCCAATAAGAGATTTGTTTGAAAATTTTGTCAAGAATTGTCAGAAATTATATCTTGTAGGAAAATACGTGACTTTGGACGAAAAGCTAGAACCTTTTCAAGGACGATGCTCCTTTCTTAAGTATATGTCTAAGAAACCTGTAAGATATGGTATAAAGATATTTACTGTGGTTGATTTTAGAACCTTCTATACTTTCAACATGGAAATTTACTCATGTCAGTAGCCAGACGAGCCATACAAGAAAGTCAACAGTTCTTGCGAAAAAGCAAAGTGCATCCTAGCTCCATTATACAATTCTGAAAGAAATGTTGCCACAGACAGTTGGTATACCAGTTTATAAATTGGCCAATTTCTTACAGGAAAATAAAATTTTTCTCATTGGAACAATATGCAAGGATAAGAAGATTATCCCACCTGAATTTGTGTCAAATAAGAATAGAGAACAGCATTCAACCCTCTTTGGGTTTCGAAAGGATATAATGCTACTTTCTTATATGGCTAAAAAGAACAAATATGTCAACCTTTTGTCAACTATGCACAATGATGACCATATTTATGAAAGCATGGGAGATTTGAAAAAATCTGAAATAATTACGTTTTATAACATGACAAAAGGAGCAGTTGATATAGTTGACGAAATGGGTGGCACTTATTCTATGGCAAGAATATCAAACCAATGGCCTATGGACATATTTTTTCGTAATAAATAGTGCCGGCATAAATTCAAAGATCTTGCTTTTATCTACTAAAACTCCACCAGAGAAGTTCAGGAATAGGAGGCACTTCTGATTTGGCCTTTGCACTTTTAGATCCTCATTTAAAATCACGACAGAAACAGAAGGAATACAATGAAGATTCTCAAACAAAAAAAAGAAAATTATGTTACCGGAGATGTTATATGTGCTCAAAGGGAAAAAAGAGAAAATCATATGTGTGAAGTGTAAAAAAATATAAGTCAAGAACACAATAAAATAGAAGCTTCATTCAAACTACAAAATATCTAATTCTTCTTGAGCCTATTGATTTGAAAATTAATTATATAACTCATTGTCCGTGTAATAATTCTGCATAATTTGGATTATAATTGCATTCAAAAATAAAAAACATAAATTTCTCATAGAAATCAATGATTTCTAGTCATATGAAAAAAACGTACTTTTGATTTATTTGCT